CGTCAAAAGGAGTTACTTTTGTTTTACGTACTGTTTAATTATATTTTGTACCATGTCCCATGGTAGGGATTGGATGAAATCTGTAGAAAGGAATCTGTGTTTGAGTGGAGCATACTTACTGTTTGATACAATCTGGTATGGACACGTACTCCATTGGAACCAGCTCTGCAAGGTCTGTCAAGCTGAACACATACTTGATTTTCTGACTAAATTTGGTGCTGTGAAAAGAAATCTAAATGTTACCAGAGAAGATGTTCATTTCATTATTGTAGCCACCGTAAACATTGACGTTACCTTATGAAAGGTTTTGTGAGAGCCAGCAGGGTGCGAATAAACCAGGAGGGATGGACAATTATCAAAGACTTCAAGTTCTTCCGTAACCTGTACAAAAAGAGTGAGAGAAGCTGTCAACAATGTAATCACATATGATGACGCTGTTCCTGGGTTTGGCCTGATGCCTCTGCATTTGTAGTGAGAACAATACTTGTTTTTGAGCGTGATTGCCACTCAGACTCACCTCCTATCAATCTGCTGATAACATTTTCTGAGCCAGCCAACAGTTGGCATCTTTTTGCGAGAGGTTGCCCCATTCAAATACACGATCATATAGTTCTCAGCAACCAAAAGCTCCAGCGTGCCAATGACATACCTGCAGGAAACGGGGAAACCTCCATTAACACTGGTCCTAAAATATTCACTCACAAGGCCAGAGGAAATCAAATAATCACTTACTTGAATAAATTGTCCATGATGTATTTATAATTTGGTTGATTGCTTTCAGGCATAAAGCACACAGCGAACACAATTATGGCATTCAAACCGTCTCCATAGTAGCCTGCAGTGAAAAATCAAACATGAAAAATTGATGTTTCAGGATCAGAACAGTATTTGCACTGTCACAAAAAACATTATTTCTTTCATATTTTGAACAAACACAGACTGATCAACTCAAGTCAAACACAAATATGATACAGCTTGTTAATCCACGAACATAGACAAACCTAAAATTACTGCATTTACGTTTTTTGCCAAATTTCATTTCACAATGTAATGCAACTGACCTCCATGGCTGATGACCCTCTTGTAAGGTTCGATGGCCTTCATGTCCACTCTGTGCTCCTGGTCTCCGATACGGAACACCCTCCAGCGTCGACCCTCCTCCCGCTCCTCCGAGACGGAGTACTCCTGCACTGACTCCACCCCCTTCTGAAGTAGTTCTGTGGTTTTCGGCTTGGGGAGATCGTCTTAAAGGAGAGGAGGCATTATAAACCCACAGCTAGGACGCTACACCCCCTGGATGTGAGGGATGTCTGATGTTATCCAATCAGATCCATTTTGAATCAAATAATATATCAAACGATTAGATCACTCAATAATTCATAATTGAACTTTTCAAAACGCATGCATTTGAATCAATGGACATTCACATTACATTTTTTTGCATCTGGATGGCATGCTCTCTCTTTGAATCAACACCAACAATGACTCCCTTTCACTTGAGGTCCACATTTACCATTACCCGATACAATTTCCTGGGGAAACCTGCTATTGTTCCCTGCGTGAGAAATAAATGTGTCGAACAAACACTGCTGAAGTCCCGGAGGACTTCTGTGCATCTTTTGCAGGATGTACAGCTAGCTGCATGATGTGCACAATGTTCTGCGCAACATGTAGACATCAAGTTAAATGTTAAAGTGATCATCTATCAAGCATGCCAAGTAGAATCAAATATCAGTGAATAGTGCAACCAAATCACATCAACACACTTTTATGAGTTTTTCCCTCTGTGAGCGGCCAATTTCTGTACTATTACAATCCACATTGATCTGTGTTTCTCCATCTGTATGATCTAAATGTACGGATTTAGAATGAAATGACTGGTCAGATGTTTATGAAATCATCTACCAAATCATAGATTTTAAATCCCAAAATATGAGATTTAAGTGGTAAAATGCCAAAAGTAATGCATCTCCAATTGAAGGCTAAATTCATTACGCTATAAGGGCATTTCCTGAGCTGTGCGTTATCTTGTAAAATATGATCACTAGTAAACAAACAGCACAGGTTAGCAAATGGCTAATATGTGATAACTGCAGCATTGCTGTGCAGATCGAACCACTTCTTCGTTGCTTTAATGGACAAGTTGCAGCATTGGTTGTTTCCTCAAACGCAGGGGAATGTCAAAGAAAGAAAAAATGACATGCACAAAAAACAGTAACTGAAAATGAAGTGTATGAAACACAAAACCTCCCTGTGATTTGTTCAAACAACTGAAGACGGAATATAATCTGGACAACAGGAGGTGATTGACGGATGGCTGGCAGAACAAAATGGGGGCTGTCCAAGAGACCTTACCACGAGGAAGAGACAAACCTGTTGCAGGCCTGCAGCCTGTTTCCAGGCTGAGAATGGAAACAATTCTTCCATGTGAAAAAGAGGAAGGCAGTGTGGAAACACAAGAACAACAAACCTGTACAATCAAGGGAGGCGAATACAAACAGATCCAAGACCCAGGATATAAAAGACTAGTTTGATAACGTGTTTGCTTCTGTGTTACAAACCAACAAATAAACCCAAGAAGGGAAATGTTTTCAGGACTAAATTACACAACCGTGGACTTCTAATCCGAGTCCAATTCGAAAGCATCTTTGCATCTATATCGAAACTGTTATCATCGCATGATATAAAGGTCTCACCTTCCCATTCAAACTCATTGCTATTGTCTGAAGGTGTGTCTATGTCATCGAGGTCCAGCTCTGTACTTTCATCCAGCTCATCAGAGAGAAGAGAGCCTTCACTGCGGTCGAGTGTAAGACTGATGTCAGGAGCTGCGAGCTTCTTCTTTGCCTTCTTGCCGTGGTCCTTTGCATAGCCTGAGGTAGATGCCAAATCATCAGTGGTTATGTTTGTATGACAATTAAAATAGGACAGATTCTGATTTGTCAAGATTATTATAATACGATTCTGTAGTTCATACAGAGATATGATGAGGCGTCTGAAAAATCAAGTGGTATCTTCCAATGTTATTCTCATCAGTACCAAATTCCCTCTTTGTGTTACTGTGCATCCAAAGAAAACACTTTTTTGAGCTAAAAAGACTATGTTGGAAGATAGAGGCCCCATATTAATTTTGGCTGAACAGGAATGATTCCAGTGACTAATAACTCTCTCAACATACATATAGGCGTGTGGGTTTTAGCTAAGACTAGAAAAAAAGTCCTTTAGTAATCTTTTCACGATTGTGTTTTCCTTACCAGGGTCTATCTCTTCAGAAGTTCCTGCAAAAAGCTCGTCTTCAAGCTCCTCTTCCTCCGGGAGGGGCCTAACAATCAAACAGCAGGGGATCATGCCTTCAGAAGGATTATGTTTCATGTGACTTTCAAAAACACAACATGTGATACAAAGCTCTGAAGCATGATTTATACGGGATTTACAACATTATGAGTGATTGACAATACCGTGGAAAGTCCTCATCCTGCCACTCTTCCTTCAGTTCAACTCCTTCCATTCTCAGGCGAGCGTCTGTTGTGGCGACTGACTCTTGGCGCTCCAGGCTGGGAATGGAAACACAAGATGGTTATGCCATCTTTTACGTTTAATGATCTCTAATTGCTAAAAGGCCCTCTTGCACTACAAATATACTGAGATCAAGAGCAGGGCCTACACAGATCATCCACGACAAACCCAAACACATAACTAGTTGTCTGACGACGGCTGCTTGTGACTTGTATAATCCTCAAAGGTTTATGGGGAAATAAAGAACAGGAGTCAAAGGCTTTTTTTCTTCTTTTTTTTCTTGGGGTAATACATCAGCAAAAAAAACAAAATGAATGGATATTAATGGTGAGAGTGATTAAACGCTACAACATAATTAATACACTTGAATAAAGCTGCACAAAAGCACTATTTTACACTCTGCAAACAAGGGTGGGGATGTGTTTATGCAAGTAAGCGATTGTGTGCCATGTATTGTCACCCAAAATCAAAACAGCTTACTCCGCAGTTTCATTGCCAAAGATTTAATGACATTGCACATGACATGACAGGTGGACGAGTAATCTGGAATGAAACATGGTCCATGTCAATGCTACATTCAGGCACTGTTTTAAGTTTAAAAAGGCCATTTTTAGCTTCACAAATTGACATACTGTGTATGGTGTACAATTATGAAAGCATAACCAAAGTTTTTAGGAAAGGGTCCCTTTGGCTTTTAGGATGAACCTTAAACTACTTTTCTATATAAAAAATGGTGATGACCGCTTTTTCGTGTGCTGTGGTTAACCCCACCTGTTAATTACCACCTTAGCATTACATCAAGTCAATTAAAACCCTGTTTATGTGCAGCTGCTTAGCTGTATGTGCTTCTTTACTATCACAACAGTCCTCCAAGGTGAGGAGAGATATGCTTATTGCCTATTTCCAATAAACCAATTACTTTGATTTGATATAGACAGGTGCTTTGTGATGCTGTGCTCAAATTAATACATAATTCACAGTCCTGGAAAGTTGTTGAAAAGAGTTTCAGCTTGCAACTGGCCTAATAATTAGATCACTGGCTTTTTGAAAAGCGTGCACGCTTATGTTAAGCGCTTAGTTTATAAACCATGAGGCTACTTACTAATGCTGATCATGGTATCTGTATCTTTGCTGTACAGAGCTCTCTTTGATGCATTAATCACATACGCAACTGTATTTGAGCTCTCAGACACAAAAACATTCCGGGCATTTGGTACTCAACATTTCAAAAAGTTTAGCCATTTGCTCATGTATAGTGCTAATCGCCACATTACATTTGAAAGCCACGTGAGAGAGGTGGAAATGCTACAGGAATGCGGTTCCCTGAAAACAAACCCTAGCAATCGAAGTGCAGTGGAGATCAAGCTGCATGAAAGTGGAGGAACATTCAGGAGTGGAAAAGATGAATGACAGTTTAAAAACTGTACTCATAATAAAGCACTTAGTGGCAAGTTGAATTAAGCAGCACATCAGACGGGAAGAGTTTACCGAAATATTTACTAAGATGTTTTTTTTTTTTTCATGCCACCACAGAAACTGCTTACTATAACCTACAAAGATTTGAGAGAATGACAGTTATACCTGTACAATATCATGTTATATCATATCCGTGCAGTATACTACATTTGCAGAGCTTATATTCCTAGTTTTTGTTTAGATTGTGCCAGAGAAGTGCTGATTTAACTCAACCGTAATTTCTGACATCCTAGGCTGGACAAAATAATAAGATGAGATCGTATACGTAGTCCTGTTATTGTGTCCACCCCATCTAAAATGTTCAGGAAACAAACATTCACAAACGCTTGAACCTAGTCTTAGGTGCTGGAGTCTGGAAGAACAGCATTCTTGCAAGGGAAAGATGAAACCTTTCCTTTTTTTTTTTTTAAAAGTTGCCAACATGTAACGTTGGGCCAAACATAAAATAGTACATATAAGTTATAACGTTACAGACCTTCCAATGGGCCCAGGTGGTGAGCGTGGCTGGGGGAGGCTCACTGGGGTAGAGCTTCTGGCTCCCGGCTGTTCCTGCTCATTGTCTGGAGTTGTCCTTTCCTGTGGCGTACCTCTTGTTTGGGTCAGACTCTCTTGAAATGCCTCTTCGCCATTTTCCACTGTAGAATCGGTGCTATTTTCTAATTCGTCTAATTCCTCCTCATCACCTTCTCCCGACACTCCAGAAAATGAGGGAGTAGACGCCTGTCTGTCTCCCAGCTCCTCGTGAGTCCTCCTGGGTGTGACACAATCTGGGCTCCTATTGTTCAAATTCATATCACTTACACCCTTCAGCACCGCTTCACTCTCAATCACATCCGATGCCATGCTTTGTTTTCCTGTCGCCCTATAATGCTGGAGTGTATCAGAGTGAAAAAAGTTCGACAGAGACAAGTTAAAAACACCGGTTTGCCGGTTAACTTAAATAAGTCAGACACGCAACTTCTTTAAAAGTTATTAGCTAGCGTGCTAGCTCTCGTTCGCTGTACCGCTAGCCAGGAGGAGTGTTGTTGTTGACAGCTAACTTTAGCTATGCCAACAGCAATCGCATTAACCGAATAGCGTTAAATGTCACACAGGGTGCACAGATAGTCACCTTTCCTAAATGCGTCACAGTGCAGGAACTCGGGAGACCAAAAAGTATGCTAGCTTTGCATAAGCAGCAGCACGCAGTGATCCTACTTATGAATTTCCTCCCTTCCTTCCTTCCTACGAGTCAGAATGTTCTCCGGTGGACGTAACGTTAGTCACGCTAGCGTGTGTGCTACAGTTAGCTAACTAACTTAGCCACAGCAAAAGACAAGCTAATGTTGTCCACTTGACGCCGGCGTTAATTTATAAAATCGATCCAGTTGTCAACTACGACATAACATGACGACAACCGATCCATGTTCAGTATAAAGTCAGCATCCGCTGATTTCACTAGCCGGGTCCACCAACATCAGTTTCCGTAGTGCTGCCTAACAACGCTACCGTTAGCTAACTAACCAGAGCGTTCTGTTGTGACGTTTCCAGCTAGAGGTCGCGAGCGTGCGGTTGAGTTGCCAGTTGTGTTTTCTTGCAGGTTCTTACCTGAACTTTCTACGTTCATCAATCAAGTCCAAAGCACATACAAATCAATACTAAATTACAATATTAAAATGTCACTTATTTTCAGTTTCTCACAAGTTAAAACGATCTGAGCAAAGTTGATAAAGTGCATATATCTCCAACTTTAAAATACATCATATAATTAGAGTTAGAGTCGTTGATATAGGTTAATGTTAGACGATATATTCGTCTTAATGTTTCTGACTACTGCTCTATGGAAAACAATCAAACCTGGCATCCCTGCCCTATTTGGTAGTTGCTTGACCTGTAGGTGTCACTCATATACAGTCTATAAACCTTAGTTGTTTCCTGTGAAGATGGAAGTTTATTTTGAAAAGACAGTATGCATGTAACAAGCGAAAACAGACTCATGTTGCTGGACTTTTGCAGGAAAAACGCACGAAAAGTGAGGAGTAATATTTCGTAAGATATCAATAAAACGGGGATGAATTTATATCATTGTATAAAGAGAGTGACATGAGAAGATCAATCTCATGTTTGTAAGTTAAATCAGCTATAATCACTATTTTAAAGTGATTAGTGACTCGTCTAAAACATTTAAAAAAGGAATAACTTCAATAGAATCATTCTATACACTGTAGCTTCTTTACATTCTATTAGAATGCAAAGAAGCTACATTCTAATACAATGTAACTTATTTACATTCTAATAGAATGTAAAGAAGTTACAATGTTGCCTTTTCTTTTCTTCCCACAAGAACGTCATTTTGTCAGGTTGATAAAAAAAAATGTCACTTTACTTCCTGACATTATTGTTACTCTATGGAGTCAGAATCTGTTGATCTGCTTTGTGTTCTAGACTTTGGTTTTCCTTTGGGCTTTTAGGGAAACAGTGCTTTCCATCAAATCTCCTAAAAGTTTCCATTTTTTATCTGTGAAAAAAAAATTTGACTGCACAATTATTAATAATGTTTTTATTTTACTTACTGTAAAGTGTAGTATATGTTAAAGTGGTAGGCTAACTAAGTACAGTTACTCAAGTAAATACAAAGAATACTTTGTATTCACATTATTCATGTAAAATGCTATTTAAAAAAAACACAATATGAAAATATTCACATGAATATTTTGAATACTTCTTTACCTCTTTTTAGACCTATTTATTTAGACATTTTACTCAATTTAATTGAAGTTAAAGATTAAACCTTTGATCACGTTATAAAATAAATTGCATTGTTATTGATCGAACAACCCATCAATAACAATAAGTAATATGTTATATGAAATATGTAATATGTAGTACCCTGCATATTTTGTATGTATTTCTGTTAACAAATATAAAGTTACAATGTGTTGGGCCAGCTCGAATACCTCTGGTGTGTAATAATAGACTGTATATAAAGTTTGCATTGAAACAGAAATACGCAACGTTAAGCGGTGGTTGCGCGTGCTGTATAATCTGTTAATTCACAGTGAATAATCAAAGTTAGGAGCCGGAAGTTTTAAATCAGTGCATATCATGTATAAACATCAGAGTCAGTAGTGTGTTGGAACTGTTTTCATACAGTAATTCTAAAAAATGGGCGCAAGCGCCATAGCCAGGTGTGGACTGTTGCTAATTAGGGTTTCTCACCTGCACATCTCACCGATGAACAGGTGGTTTGTAAACAGCCTGCTGAGTCTTAAGGAACAGTACAGACAGTGTTTTCCTTGAGTTTTTCAAATGAGCCCCAACAAGCGCGCAAACATTGTGCTACCACCAGCTGATTTATTTAATAATGTTTTTTTATTGAACAAATTGCACATGTACAATTTCACAAACTGACAATGAAACAGCTAAATATATACAGTACATTCAAACCAGGGTGCAACTGCAGAAGAAGAAAAATGGGTTAGCTAATGCACACATTCTAATTGTATAGTATTATACATAGATCACAGATAATGCTGTTACAGTTCTTGTCTTTTTTCACTGTACAGCATTTAATACATTTTATGCACAGTTCAAAATATTTGTAAAAAACATAAAAAATTTGGTCTTCGACTTGTAAACTTAGATTTCTGTAAATAGAATTTGACAATAATAATCAATACATTTGTGATATATGCCCTTGTCTCAAAATGTCTGTAATAAGTAAAAGAAAAGAAAAATCTTTGTACAAGACGATACATTTTGAAAGGGTATTACTTTGTTTTCTTTTCTTTGGTTCACCATATCATTTTACGTTCATGCATTCAGTTGTGGTTTGATGTTAATTGCATGTCTGATGATATTAATGCAATTCATATGGTAAAATAAGGGCTATAGTGGTATTTATGAATGCATAAAAGTCTAAGCTCACAATGACAGTATAGCTAAGATCAGCTAACTTGGCCTTTCTTCAGTAACTTTCAGCAATTCAGCTCCCATGCGAAGGGATTATCAGATGTAACAATAAAGAGATATGCAATGCTAATTCTGTAAAAATAAATAAAATACAAAATAAATAAACAAAGAAGGAATTAAGTATACAAATATCTGCATTATATTATTTATTAACAACATTATTTTTTCCTCTTAGGTAGTTTGAATAAACATGCACCGATACAGTATATTGACATTATTAAAAACCACATCATCTCATTAGATTAAATAACCTTCATTCATTTTAAAATTGTTTGGTAAGGCTACATGTTGTGTGTGGTTTATTATACTGGGTCAAAATCTGATTTTGGAACAGTTACTTTACTCACTTCAGTAAGTCTTAGCTTCTTCCTCAGTGACTAATATTTTCCACCAGGTGGAGGCAGATGCATGTTTAAACGCTGCAGTCTAGGGCGATGCATTTATTGATTAAGATCCGCCATAGCTCAAACCCTCTTGGAGAGCAAACTCAACCAAATTCGGAGATGCAATGAGGAAAAAAGTGCAATTTTTAATTACTTAAGTAAACTTAAGTCACATTTACAGATGGTTCTAGATTTATATGAATTGAGCAATGACACATTTTCAAATTTATATGATTAGTTTTGGCCTTATCAATAGATATTTATTGAGAGTATAGGGAATGTCATTCTATTTAATTTTCAGAGCTTTCAGCAACACTCACTTCCAAACTAAAAGGAGTCAATTGCAACACATGTGCTATAATTTCTCTTTTGGTTATAATTGCTATAACCATCAGACCTCATGGTTTAGAAAAAAAAAGCAAAGACAGCTATAGATATAATATAATGATGCTGCCTGGTTAATACCTCCTCTGTGTGCAGCGGATCATTCAGTGTAATTTCTAATTAACACGTTGCTATTTACTCTGTTGGATCATTAGGCCTCATCACAAAAGGATAATCCAGTCAAATTGAGAGTTTATGCTTCCCTTCCACCATGGTGCTGTTTGCTAATGAGTCGTGTTGCAATTATCGAACAAATTAAGACAAATGTTGCCTGTTTAGCCAAGATAAATGTATTGAGCCAGGCTACAGCGTTAACATGTATAACACTGTTAGAAGAATGAGGTTCCTTGTGAATTAATTTTATGCATTTATACTCAAAATGTCACAGAAAATACCAAGAATAACAGTGGAATTATGATTAATCATGCCATTTGATATCAGCTTCTTTTTTTTTTACCTTACTTAATAAAATCTATTTTTATAATGTTATGAAATTGTATGTAAAATTGTCAAATGATAAATGACAATAAGAAAGCTTTAAAAACTTTTTTTTTTAGCAAAAATCCGACCAGAATAGTTAAGACCAAAAAGGCCAGTGCAAATAACCTTAGTGAAAGAACACTATTGTACTGTTTGTTTTGCATTGTGCAATATACAGTAAACCTATCTCGTCAATACACTTGCGTGTCAGGGAGCAGCTTTACAGTTTGACTGTAGCCTAGCAGTTGGTTTAAACAATAAAGTAGCATTGTCTGATGCGGGATGTGCCGCCTTTTAAAGTAATACAAGAATTCCAGATCTCAACACAGATGCTGTAGCAGACCCCTCCTTTCATGATGAAAGGAGGGATGAATGTTGGGATCAGAGATGGAAGCTTGTAACCTATTTGTGAAGCAGAATCATTAGGAGGGTTCTCCAACCAATTTCCATAAGTGGGGTAGCGGGATGTATTTAGGCTACTCGAAGTATATCACTAATGAGAAAAGACAAAAAGGATTCATGTGCATGTTTTATGCAATCTCTTTCTGGGTGTAGATGAATAATTATTTATGATTGCAAAGCCTAAAAGGGAGGCAAAAAGATAGCAACTGCAAAGAGACTAGTAAAAAATTTAAAGAGGAAGTTAAATGAATATTTAAGGCAAGATGAAATATTTAATGGAAACAAATGAGCAAAACATTTAAAACGGCATGATAAATAGTAGTGAGTGCCACTAAAATGACCCTCTTAATTTGTGCTATTTGGTGCAGTAGCCATGAGGTCTCATTCATACTCAAAACGGTGCGAACTGAAGACTCCGACAATTGTTTCCAACATGCCACTCATTATATTAGGACATTGTGTCTGTAACCCAGGGCTGACCTCATAGCTGAGACATATTAGCCTTTGATTCAGTGGCGTTTATGTTGACGCCACGAGGCAGAAACCATTCATGTTTTATTGACCTTCAAGTGGAGGTTAGGGTTCTGAAAAAAACACATAATGACAAAAGTTCTGAATATGGTTGCAGTTCATTTCTCTTCTGCATTGGGTTTTATAATAACATTAGTGTTGCTGTATGATTCTCGCAGCACATTTTGTAAATCTTCACCGATATTAAAAAAAGGAAAACAATCTGGAGTATGCGCCAGCTCACTTCATTTGTTTTCCAAATGCGAAAATGATTAAATCAGCAAACAAATAATTATTCAAGTCAATGAGAACAATTATCTCAAAGACGCCTCTGAGACTTGGATGTGCATACTGAATTGATTAATTATCCTGCTAAAGATAATTGAGTGGAGCTAGATCTTTGACTGCTTCCTTTCAACATACTCTCGCCT